AAACACGAGAAAAATATTCCTGCCTCTGTTAGAATTATGACATAAATGACACCCAAATGTTCCTAAGTTTTATGTTATTTATAAACTATCAAGAAAGAGACTTACCTGCCACCTTTCAAGTATAGAAAAAGTTTATCAAGTTTTAATTTAAGGGGTATAGAGATTAGGATGGTGGTGGTGATGATGGTATCTTTTTTGCATTTTAAATTCCAGAGACTGATTAAGCTTGATTTTCACTCTTTACAACCATCCCAAGGATATGGGTATTTAATAATTGACCAGAAAGAAAATTCAGGCTCAGTGAATTTATTTAATATACCAGAAATGGTGACACATGAATAATAAAGATGGGATTTTATTCCAAATTTGAAGTTTGTATGACACAGATTTAAATGACGCATTAAAAAACAATATTCTTTTTAATTTTAAATATCAACTTCAAAAATCCTGTCATTGTTCCCAATGCTTCTTCTACCCACATGTGCCAGGCAGTACTCATGTAACTGTGGTACATATATTGTATTTGTGACTCATGAGTATCAGTGACTAGACCCATTCTCATTTACTATGGTCTCTGGGAAATTGGTCGATATATAAATGTGTGAAATGTCATCAGTGAAATAACAAAATTACTAGAATCCTGAAATGCCTAAAAAATGTATTTATGGGTATGATGTTGAAAATGATAAGTCTCTGGATATCACTTAGCTTTCTTAAGAGTCACTGTGCAAATTATATGTAAAGCAAAATACATTCTGGTTTCATTATTTATAGTTAAACTTAAAATTTTGGTCTGGAGAGATAGCATGGTGGGTAGGGCACTTGCCTTGCAAGTGACTGACCTAAATTCTATGCCCACCATACCATATGGTCCCTGAAGCCTGCCAGGGGTGATTCTGGAGTGTAGATCTAGGACTAATCCTTGAACACTGCTGGGTGTTCAAAACAAAACTAAGATATACCTGGAGTCTCCTTTATCATATCAATAATCACTGTTCCCTAGGAAAATAACTTTGTTCTTTCCATAATAATACAGATTCAAATGCTTTGCAATGAACATTTCTCTATGCTGTTGAAAACACTTTTAATATATCTTTTTTTTCTCAGCATTATTCCTTAATTTTTTCTGAATTTCTCTGATCATCCTGGGGGTTGGGTACGGTGGTACATTGTAAATGCCTGTTATATATGCTAGCTGTCTTAATTTTCACTCTAGTTTTTACTAAATTGAGAATTGCAATTTCATATTACATGTTTTGTTCAAAGAATTTAGTAATAAATCACTGTATCACTGTCATCCCGTTGATCATCAGATTACTCGAGCAGGTGCCAGTAATGTCTCTATTCCTTCCAGCCCTGAGATTTTAGCAGTTCCTTCTATACTCATCTTTTCCCAATGATTGGAGGTACTTTCAGGGTCAGGGGAATGAGACCTATTGTCATTACTGTATTTGGCATATCGAATATGCCACAGGGAGCTTGCCAGGCTCTGCCCATGCTGGAGTGATACTCTCAGTAGCTTGCCAGGCTCTCTGAGAGGCCCAGGGCAATGGACAGATGAAGGATCAGTGGAAACAGAGAAATAGGGCCCCAGGCTACTCAATAGTCTGTTTATTTCTCTCTCCTCCCCAGCGTAGTCCAATCTCTCCCATACAACATAGCCATAGTCGTAGTTTTGGTCATAGTCCCAGTCATCATAGTTCCATCAACTTAGTTTCCTCGTAGACCTCATAGTCCTCTACTTTGTTATCTCTTCTTCCTCAACTCATCATAGTCTCATAGTCCCCTTCTTACTTCTTACGGCATAGTTATATAGAAACCATGAAGGATGAGAATACACATAGATGGGGTTGAACACTGCCATAACAACAAACAGATGTAAAACCACTCCTTCAGGGGAAGCTCTAGGAGATAACTCAAAGACAAAATCTCATCTGAGGGTTCAGCACTCTAGATTACTAGGAGATCTGCTCAAGAACAGGATTCCATCTAGCCTGTATTGCTTTATCCTTTCCTCACTAATAATCCAGTTAAACAATCATAGTAAATTTACTTCTTATGATATTTCTAATAATTTTGTATTAACATAGTAAGAGATACATTAAGCTAAAAATTGGCTTAATGTATACCAGTCTACAGTCCTCAGGTCAGGTTAATCTTTCCTAACCCCAGCTGGGTCCTTATTTAGTTACCTTTTTTGGGGTCATAACAGACTTTCCCATGACCATGCTCTTAATTTGTTATACATACGGTACTTAGTTTGTCCCCTTTCGATGCCAAAGTTTGCCCTGAGTACATCCTTCGTTGGGGACCCTCCTTTTGGGGGTGTTAGGAAATAAGGACAACTAAAGCTTAAGTCAAGTAAATATGATGAATGCCCAAGAGCCAATATTATTTTGGAGTCAATTAACTCCCATGTACAAAAGCATAGCATCCACTGTCTTCCTATGTCTATACAAAAAGGGAATTGCTAAGCATTCAAGTGACATAAAGGAAAAAGAAAAGCAATATAAAATTAGGGGTTCCTGATGGAACATGGTGTGCCTCAGGGGCACTGTTCTGGGAGTAACTCAATAAACAAGCTCTGTGGAAGAAGCAAAAACAACCGCAATGTAATCCAACAGGAATTTAGAGAGATGCCTTTTTATATATGATATTTGCATCTAGAATAAGGGCATCTATGCCATAACTAAAAAAGAAAAACAGTCAAAATGGAACACATTATATATCTACTGTCCAACTATCCTTGTATGTAAGTACATACTATATAAATAATAAGTTGTATGTATCATACACATAAACATGTAATACTTGCTATGGTTAAAATGTTAATATAAAACTTTTAGTTGTAGGATTATTAAAAAATGGGTTTACTGTCTTAATATGTTATTCTTTTAATTTAATTCTTAATCCTCTGTTCTAGAAAAAATGGTGTCTATGTGATATTTGTTTTGCCTTGAGTTGGTTAGGAATGGAATACCATATAAATGGGATGATGTAAAAAATAGAAGTTTATGTCTCATAATTCTAAGATTGGAAATCCAAGATAAAATGTGTTGCATACCTGATCTCTGCTGAGAACAGTGGTTTCCTTCTCATTGTGTCTTTACTGTGAAAGAGGGAAAGGAAGAGGGAGAGGGAAAAGGAGGGGAAGAGGGAAAAGGAGAGGAAGAGGGAAAAGGAGAGGGAGAGGGAGAGGGTGAGTCTTTTTTCATTTTTTTTTTACAAGAGTATGGACCTCATCGTGAGGACCCCATCCTCATGACCTAACCTAACCCTAATTACAACAGAGAGGTTTCAACCCCAAATACAATCACATGGCACGTTGAAATCTCAGCAAATAAAATTTTCAGGGACACAAACATTTGGTTCATAATGCTGCTCTTTGAGCCTCCATTTTCTCTTGTTTTAGTTCATTTCACTTACAATTTATGCACCAGTTTTTCTAATTGTGTCTTGTGTGCTTTAAGATGCGTATTTACTGAATTTAGCATTCCATAACCAAAGCACATATTTTGGCATATAAAAGGCTATTAATAAGCGGTGTGGGAAAAGTTTATCATCTTCATATTTAGTGTTCTTGATAAAAAGTTGACTCGAGACACAAACCACCATATTGTCTTTTTGTAAAAAATATTAAAATTTTATTTGCCTAAAAAATTTAGTACAGGAGTTAAGGTGTTATTTAGTATAGCTGTTAAGGTCCTTGCTTTGCATTTAACTAATCCCAATTCAATCTCTAGCATCGCATGGGCCCCTGAGCACTGCTGGACATACCTCTATCCACAAATAAATAAATAAATAAATAAATAAATAAATAAATAAACAGAAGAACCCCACAACATGGCTGGATGTGGCTCAACCCCTCACCGCATGAAATAAATAAAATTTTATTGATCTACATTATGATATTATATCAAGTTCAGAGTATTATCTTATATGAAAGTTTTCTCATTAAACTTTCAAATTAAAAATAATGTATTGGTAGGGCATTGAACTCAGGGCCTCACACATTTGGGGCACACAGTCTACCACTGAGTTATAACCCTAGCCCTAAAGTTACCTTGTACAGGGGTGACTTTCCATCCTGAACAGTATTCAAGGGGCTTTGAGAGCTGTGCTTGGCTATACTTATAGAACTCAGTCAGACAGTTAAATTCTCTGGCCTGAGAATGCATTGCTGTGTGGGCCTGGTGGTGCTGGTTGTCACTGTGGTAACCCTAGATGTGCTCAGGATCATCCAGGGATTAAATACCTGCATTGCTGAGGGATCATCATATGGTACCAGTATTTGAACTACAGCCCTGGCAGATGGAAGGAGTTTCCCTGATCACTGTTTCTTCCTAGCCTTAACTCATAAATCTGCAAATATGTTTATTCCATTTTTTAAGTTTTTAGAGTTTAAAAGCTGTTATGAATTTTTTCTAGACACTCAGCAACCACTTGATTTCTACAGACAAAAATTAATCAGAAACTTATTCTCTGTACTTGAAGTGTTTTTATCTTTACTTAAAATGAAAACAAAGTAAACCTATAGCAATGACAAACATCTATTGTCAAGTGAAATACAAATTTAAATCAAACACACATTTCCTTTGAATGACCATAAATACCTGTCTAGCAGCATCCTGCTTTGGGCTTGAGTTCATTGTTTATATGATATTTTGTGGCAAGTGCTAATTATCATAAGCTGTCCAATAAATGTGATGGATTGCCCAATTAACTCTTCATCAGCATCCGTTTTTGAAGATGCTACCTATTGAAACTGATGCCAGTTTATGACCTCCATGCTGCATACATAGCTAATTACTCCTTGGACAATAATTATTAAGTTTCTTGTGTCTCATTCAGTCATTTTATTTTACAAATTATGATGCCACTGAATTTCCCAATTCATTTGACTTCACAACTATGGCTCTCCGAGGATTACTAAAGGTCTGCTGTGAACTGTATGGATCATATTAATATTAAAGTAGATTACAGTTATATCTGTTTTGTAGGTTTTCTATCGACCGGCACACTGACCTGGAGAGACAGTTCAACATTAATGCAGATGATGGGAAGATAACACTGGCAACACCACTTGACAGAGAATTAAGTGTATGGCACAACATAACAATCATTGCCACCGAAATTAGTAAGTGCCTCAATTTGTTACTCTCTTACTTGTGTGACCAGATCCCATTTGTGCTTAGTGATCATGTGATAAAGTGGTCCCTGTTTTCGTTAGGGATTTTAACATGCAAATGTATTCTATTGATCCCAAGGAATCTATAAATGAATCATCAATATGAAATAAGTCAGCATTGTGCTCATTACCAAGAGGTTGTAATATACATGGGAAGGAAACGTATCGCTGATTCTCAATTCTCATTTAGCCATTCTTATCCATGACCCAATCATTAAAAAAATTTTATGAAAAATTAAATAAAATATGATATTTAATATAAAAGGATATTTAAGTATAAAATTCTAGATCTGTATACTATAACTTAAATATGTGGACACTAACATATACAGTTTAGATAAGTATAGAAATTATGGACACGCACTCATATATATACTACATATAACATGTACATAATAAATATAAAAGAAAACTCCCACAATTGATGAATACTATTCTAGGGATATAAGGTTATAGAAAACATTTTGCCAGGTGTTTAGAGTTTAATATATTTTACATAGAATTCTAAATCGTCTATTATACTATCTTAGACTGGTTAGCTTAGTTGTTAAGAGTGTTGTAGTAATGGAAATGTATCCTCAATATAAAATACTTCAAAAATCATTGATAAAACCATGCATTTTTATTTTATTTATTTTTGATTTCTCAGGGAATTTTCCAGGGCTGATAAAATAACATATGGTTTTCTTTTACCAAACTTTATGAGTAAAGCTTTGATTATACTTAATGATACTATTATTGACTCAAAAAAAAAAGCTCTAAGTAAACCTAAGAAATAATAGGGAGGTTAAAGGATTAAGATAGTATTGTAGTTAAGGTTAATGCATAACCTGTATTTGATTCCTCCTACCACACTCTGGGAGAAGCAATAGAGGCCTGGCGCTAGTCTGAGTGTGGCCCTGGTGACTGTCACACTTTAGCAAGGTGCACTGGGTCATCCAAGCAGCTCTGCATCTTCAGATCTTCAGGCTCTTGCCTTGGACCTCTAACCTTGCACTCTGTCTCAACTTTTATTATTATTATTATTATTATTATTATTATTATTACACATACACATGCAGAGGGCTAGGATGCTTTATTTCCCAGCATTTTACATTTTGCATATTATCTGAATCTCCTCTTTCCATAAAAGATCTGATGGGACCCTTTCCCATTTATACAGATTCCAGAAGGCAATAAATTTATTAGGGAGAAAAGAGTCTAAATAAGAAAATAAAAATGTAAAGAAAGATTCACCAGCCTACGTATAATATATGAAGATTACATATAATATATGAAGATGATAATTAGAAATGTGGGGCCCAAAAATCTCTGTTTTCTCTGAATCTGCACAGTATTTTCACAGTTCACATGTAGATAGAGGAAGTTTCTCTGGGAGGCATGATTAACTGATTTGTATAAAGAAGACTAATCCAAACTTTCAGAAAGTTCATAGTTTTCCCTTGCTCGGATGTGGGAAAAATGGTCTCCATTGAGCCCTATTTTTATGAAAATAGAAATCATTGGTGTTTGACTATTAGCTTTAATCAAATTATGTGAACCACCTTATAACATTTAAAAAAAATTAAAAAGTTAGAAAAAAAAGAAGAAAATAGAAATCATAACCAAAACCTTATCCATATTAAAAACTAGTAAAGACAAGAGTAAACAAACAATCTGTATTTTTTTCTCTCTCTTTTTTTCTCTTTTTTTCTTTGACCACATCCAGTGGTGCTCCTGGCTCTGCACTCAGGGATCACTCTTGACAGGATGCTGGGAAACAGATGTGGTAGTGAGGATTAAACCTAGGTCGGTGAGTGAGAAGCAAGCTGTACTATCTGACCAGTCAAAAGCAATCTGTTCTTAAAGCAATACCAGGTGCAGGCAAAGAATGGGCAGTCGGGTTCACATTAGCTTCCACCCTGCTTGGCAGAGGGTTCTGATGCTAGGACAGGGCTTGGGAACAGAGCTGGTCCCTGGCTCTGAGTCCCACTTCCTCCTCTAGCGTGTTGCTGTAGCATTAAGGGATAAAGCAAACAAAGCACACTGTTTTGTGACTTTGGCTTATTAGAAGTGTTAAACCCCATCTAGAGAGGTATAGATATGAAATTTTTATAATTTACAATGTTGAAGCAGCCTTATCACCTTAAGCCTTTGAGGGAAAAAAATATCTACTTAGATTGGTTTAAGGGTTTATAAAAACATTCTAAAAGATCACCATTTCCTTTAAAGTACGTAGGCAGTCATTACATTTTTTTTTAGAAGAAAAGTTTCTCATATATTGAATGTAACCTTGTTCACTTCTCTGCAATCTATGACACTTTTTATGAGATGGATGTGTTATATATTCTTTTCTAGCTTAGCTTACTTGATTAGAGTGTGGTACTAAGAAATGTGCATCCTCAGTATAAAATATCTCAAAAATTACTTCTAAAAACACAAACTGTTTTTTTTCTCAGAGTAGTGCCAAGGGCTGATAAGATATCATAGGTTAGTTTTTCTTTTGTTAGATTTTAATGAGAAAAGCTTCTTTAATTAGACTTAATTACATTACTGTCGACTCTAAGGGACTCAACTAAAGAAACTAACGGGTTAATGCAGAGGTTAGGGGGTTAAGATATTATAGGGGTTAGGATTAAAGCCAGTGGACAACCTGGGTTTGATTCCACTATCATGCCTGGGGGCAAAGCCCTGGAAGAAAATATAAGCATCATTTGCTTATAGAGTCATCAAAATGATCCTTACTGTAAGGATCCATGTTCTCCATTCTGAAGGGGTGGGAAGGAAGAAATAAACACACAGCGTAGGTGGTTAAAACATATTTCAGGGCCAACTTCAAACCAAGGACTAATTTATAAGGAATACCATAGTAGGGAGGAAAATAGACTCCAAAGAAGATGTTCGTGGATAATGAGATGTTAACTGCAGGGTGACAAGGGTACTAAGCCCAGGCAGAGAAAATGCTCTGTTGATCATTCTCTCAATAATTATTTATGGAATCTTTACTACTTGTCAAATGCTCTTCTCCTGACTAGAGCTAGCTGTGAGCAAAAGATCCATACATACAAAATAACAAAACACACCCTTACCCTATGAGTTTTCTTTCTAGTGGCCCAGGGAAGTACTGAGTAGGAAAGATGAGCCAAAACTTGCTGAGATACCCATGAAGAAAGACACAGAGGAGAAGGGGAAGATGATGCCCACTGGTATTTCCCACAGGGACTTCTCTGTTGTTGGTGAAAAAAAAATGTGTAACAAAAATTCTTCCTATGAACACATGATTTTATAAAAAAAAATATAAAAATTGTTTCATAGCAAATATGGGAAAAATCAAGTCTTTATGTATATTGGCAAAATACCAAGTTAGGATAAATTTTCAGTAGCACAAAATATTCTATGTTTAACTTGTCTGTGAACTTTAAAAAAATAAACTATATATTCCAAGGGCTCAGAGGAATAATGTAGTGGCTTAGAGAACCTTCATTGTAAATCACAACCTTCATTGTAAATCATAAGTCATGAGTTCAAATCCCCGGAGTCCTATATATAACTGTCGGCACAGCTGTCTGAGCCTTGCAGTCCTGTTATCTGTAACCCCTACTCCTAATATCCCCCCACCCTCCAAATAATTTTCTTATAAACTGTGTATCCCAAACTTATATTAGTCTTTTGGTGAAGGACATTGTCTCCATTTATTTATTTTCTAATTTTAACTGAGGCTGAAAATCAAATAAAGTATATAGGCATAATTTGGTCTGGAAGTGAGCTTAAGTGAGGAGATCAGATATATAAGCACTGTAGAAGTCCAGTAATTCCATTTCTTAGGACAAGAGAAAGAGTCCAAAGAGAGGTATGGCTCAATGGTAAAGCACATGTCTTGCATGTTTGAGCCCTGGGTTCAATCCCTGGGACACATATACACATGTACCCCTAAGTAAAGTCTTAATATTTAACTGTACAGTCCCATCTTAGGTGGGCATAAATCTCAGTACTTCATATATACACCTGCCTGCCATGCTTTTCTAAATCATGGAAGGAAGTAGAAATAATAAGAATTATAGAGAACTTTAAAACATTGGAATTAGTATGACATTGGCTTCAAAACTTGCTTTGACTTGCTTTTATTACTCAACCAATCACATAATGTTTATCTTCCAAAGCCACAGACCATGTCTTAGGGAAAAAATATTAGCAAGAGATTTATTGTATATGGATGAAATGAATATTTAAAACCACCCAGGACAACAGAGCCCCACAGGGAGAAGATCCAACTATGATAAAGAGGTAGTCATTCCAGGGAGAATGATTTAAAATTACTCAGAATGCTATCTCATCAGAGAAACTATTTAAACAAACTAAATTAAGCAGAAAATTTAAAAAAAGATTTTAGGCAAGTCTGCCTGTTATCTCCTAATGCCAATGGAGCCATCCTTCTTTTTTTTTTTTGTGCCAGACTCACTTAACCAATGCTAGATGTTTTCTTCCGTGTGCTACCCAGGCATTTCAGTGGCCATTGAGACCTTACTTTGCCATCACAGTCAATGGGCACAGCTTATTACATGAGCTGACAGTTAGGTGCCCCATTGGCTAACAAGAGGTGGCGTTTACATAGCACATTATCTCTGCCAAGTTTCTCTGCTGGTAGCAATCCTATCCCTTGAGACTAATATAATGCATGACTACTCATACCATGGGAGTGAAGGCATATGCTACATTTAACTGATTATTTAAAATGATCACAGAAAAGGCATTCAGTGAGACTCAACATGCACTGAATTCTTACACCACTCCTTGAAAGCAGGTACAATATTCAGTTTTCTAGACCAGGAAACAAAAACCCAGGTGAAGTACCAGTTTGCGGGGAGAACAACATTGGAAATGGGTGGAATTGGTTCCTATGCTGTCTTGTAGCTTCAGTTCATGTGTACTTAAATGACATTTATAGATGAACCCTCTCATACATTCTTTCC